CCCCAAAGCCCCCCCCCCCACACACACACACACACACACGGCAGATCATTGCTCAGCCACCGGGGTTCCCGACCTGCCAGCCCTACCAGGATAGCCCCAGGCCAGCCCTGCTGTGGCAGTCCTGCAGTCCTGCCACTGTTGCCTCGCCAGAGCTTGCTGGCGTTCTAGCCACTCTGCCACCAGCTCAGCTGGACTCCTGCAGCAGGGCTTCCAGCTGCTGGCCTCCCTGCAGCCAGCCTAACTGGGTTCCCGGCTCGCCCAGGGCTCCTGCCTCTGGCTCTCCACTGGGTCTCCCTGGTCCAGCAACATCAGGACCATGGATGTTGCTGGACCAGGAAATCCCACTTAAGAGAGGTTCAACTTGTAGTCCCTTTTGATAATGAAGGCCTAATTTTTCAAATATTGTTGACCACATATTTTTTCTTTTTTTTAAGAAAAAAGTGTGAAATGAGGAGGAATGGAGTATGTTATTCACCATCAGTGTTCTGCTGTGGTGCCTCTCAATATCTTTATGAATTATATAGTACTAGAGAATACATTTTTTTTCAAAATGCATTCATTTCAGATATTTATTGATTTGATATCTTCACAACAGTAATTGTGTCCCTCTATATAAGATTGTTTCAGTACACTAAGAAATTGCTCTTTGTGCCCTTTATAAACAGAGAAGATCTGTACATTATCAGTCACATTCATTAGGAGTACTGCATCAATTAGCTGAACAACATCAAAAGTTAATTTCTTATCTACCAAAAGTATATTTGTTCTTATGCCGGTCTTACTACTTCCATTTTGTTTTTCTTAGTTTTTTTTTTTAACTTTATTACACAATATTAAATTAATGGACTTGAAATGTAATATATGCAGGAGCTCAAACAAAATTAAAGTTGCATATGTTGCTGGGTACCTTCTAAACTATTTCTATTAAATTCAAAATGTTGCTGGTACCAGACTGTTGTCAAGGCAGCTCATATCCCTGCTAAGAGGGAGTCTGTCCCGATATTCATCAACAAGCCCTGTGGCCGACTAAAGGAGTTTTGGATCAGAAGGCCCTCCAGGTTTCAGAAGGTGGTTGTGTATTTAGCCTCCCCAATCAAAAAGACAAGAATAGGGATTGAGATTGAATTCTGTAGAATGGAGAAATGTGAAAGACAGAAGAGAGGACTTAAATAGAAAAATAACATACGTATTCCCATTTCTGGTTGAAAATAGAGAGAAACTGTGATGTTCATAACTTCAGTTCTCATTCATTTATGCATTTGGCCAAACACTCCTGTAAGTTGGTGCATGGCCATGTATTTTGAATATTTGGCAGTTTAGTGTGAAGCCAGCAAAGCCAACTCATTTTGCTATGCAACAGATCTTCGAGAATGATCTGTACCAAGAAATCCTGGAATGGTGAAACTCTTAATGTGATTCACTTTTAGTACCGGTAGTTTCTGAAAATTTATTGTATGAAGAACTTTAAATTATTTTATATGCATTTGAATTGTTCCTACAATGTGTTACATTTTTCACACTAGGGCAATAGCTTTTCTACGTGGCTGAGTTGTATATTACATAGCAAATGACCAAGTCTCAGCTTGACAAAGCCCTGGCTGGGTTGATTTAGTTGGGATTGGTCCTGCCTTGAGCAGGGAGCTAGACTTGATGACCTCCTGAGGTCTCTTTCAGCTCTATGATTCTATGACTCTATTATTTGACTTCACTTTCTTTACAACAGCATTTTACTACTTTAAGGGGATACACATGAAGTTGCTTTTTTTTTCTTTTGTTTCTATTCAAATAGCCCCTGGTAGCTTGTGGATGGTATTCCCTCTTATCAAGAGAGAAAGAAAGTTAACTCATGGTTTTCTGTTGGAAAATAAAGGAGCAAACTGAAAAAAAGTGCAGTGTGAGCAGCAAAACCATCTAAATGGAGGAAACAGAATATCATGTAGATTAGGATACTAGCATCTGAGAAAAAAAACATAGGAAGTTGAAAGCAAAATATGTCAACAGAATAAGGAGGAAAGGGTTGTTTCATGTTTGCACTGACAGTGTAAATAAGCTTGAGTTATCAAGTTAAATCTTTTCTTTATGCTTGATAAGTAACATCTTCTCACTAAGACAGCAAGAAGCTGTTCTGCAATATGGGGTTACAGACACAGCTGCCAGAACAGGTAATTCTTATACACAGGAAATCCATTGTTCTGGAAAGAACTATTCTGGTGGTCAGGCCCACTCACCATTATTCTCTCATATGATGACTTGCCTGTTGGAAGGATCCTTATAGAACTTAGGGGGCAAAATGTGCAGAAAGTATTGAATTTTTTTTTTTTTTTTTAAGAATTACAGCACCATCCCCGTGAACTATTGCCAATACAGCTCCTGCACCGCTCCTGCACAGCAGAGTCAGATTCAGATTCTCAGTTCTAACATTTTCTCTCAAGCTCAGTAAGGCTAGGATCATGGTATAAGTTGCTTAACAACAAGTGTTAAGAGGATGTGATTTTAAAGAGTTAAAGGCGGGTCATGAAGAATGTCAGAGTGAGTCCTTCCAGACCTAAACAGGAAGGATGATTTTCAGAGCAGGATAGTAAATGCAAAACGGTATGTGCAAATCTAAAATCTCTATGAATGTTGAAAATCATCCACTTTCCACCTGAGAGGAGAGTTAAGCAATAGCTAGCCCTATGGTTTTGAAGTGAAGAAATCCAGAACTGAATTTCAGATACTGAAGTGACTACAGGATGGAAGATGGTTTACTATGTTGACTCTCTTGGCTGTTTAGGCTTTTGACAAGTCTGGAAGATTTCCTCTCACCAACAGAAGTGGGTCCAATAAAAGACATTACCTGATCTACCTTGTGTCTTTAGGTTTAGGTTCATTTTTCTGACTAGATTTGACTAAGGCAGGATGTAATCCACAAAATAGTTAATTGGAGTGGACTAGATCATGTGGCATAAAAAAT